AGAAAGGACAGAAATGTACACTGGAATACCAGGTAATATTGCTAATAAATTATCATAAATATATGCATATGGTATGTAAGGAAGCTGAAATCATGGTGGACGAAATTAAAACCAAATTAACTACTTTTTGTGCACAATATGCTTCCCCGAAAAGGCCGCATCCTCCGAAGAGCCCTTTCAGTAAGTCTGGTAACCAGACGTGTGTGTGTTTTAATTATGGGTAATTACTAAAATGAGAGAGTACCAGACTAATTTATGCTTTTGCGGCATGGGCCATGCACGGCATGGGGAAGAATTCAACGTCAAAGTTAGTTTTTGTACCTTAAATGGCAGTTTGAGGTTCTGTTTTAGGTACAGAAATTTTGTGCTTAACATGTTTGTTCATACTGCATTTGTCCAAGGGCTTGACAGCAAAGAAAATGAATTTTGATGTTTCCCATTCGCCCACCACACGTGAAATTATGAGTGTGTTGTAATTGTTTTGGCAGATCTACATGTATACTTCAGTGCCTAACATGTAATTTAGCATTTAACTTTGTCCGGAATTGTTGGGCTTTTCATCAGTTTATGGTACTTTCAATGATTTTAAGTATGGCACAAGTAAATAAAGAAGTAACTCATCTTGAAAATTTTACATTAGTTCTGAGACTGAGCAAATGCTGTTGCATCTACAGGTTGTTACTGGCGGCAAATACGATGTAGATGTCATCCTCTCCGATGTCAATGATAAGAACGTCCTGTACAAGGAGAGGAGAAAACAGTATGACACCTTCACCTTCACGCCCAAGGAGAAGCAGGTCTACAAGTTCTGCTTCAGCAACGAGTTCTCCACGTTTGCCCACAAAGTGGTGTACTTTGACTTCATGGTGGGAGAGGAGGACTTGCTGCGTGGGATCGGGGCTCATGCCACAGCACTTACACAGGTACTAGAGCCTTGGAAGGTCATGATGGGGGGAGTTGCTACTTCAATTTGGTAGCCTGTAAGGCTGTTGATTAAAGATATTCAGATATGTGATCTTTCAAAATAAACAATGCAATTATTCAATTACAACATTGCATTCTATTAAGCATATGTCACGTTTTTTTTTATAAACTTAAAGGTAGCTGAAAGTATGCGCTTTTTATAAAATGTGTATCAAAGATTTTGAATATTTGATTGAATAGAAAGGTCAGTACCCAAATCTTCAATTATTTAATTTGACAGGGCCTACGGAGCCCATGCCCTTCCGATTCACTCTTGAGGAGCAATGGTCAACCTCCACCTGCCCCCCGCTGATTGGGATTTTGGAGCACATTTAATGTTCATATCGGATTGCCGCTGCAGGACTGTCAAACTGTGAATCAAAACACAAATACACTTTCTGCTGAAGATACGTCTTTTTTGTTTCAATTCTTCAGCTGTCATCAAGGATTTTTCCTTCTAAAGCTATAGATTGATCCCCATTCCTTTAATTACAGAAAATTCAGATGAACATGATTGAGTTTCCTAATTTTGGTGGGAGGTTTTCTCTTTTCTTTATGCTGTCATTAACCAATTTGAATCTCTCACAAGCAGGGCATTTTCTTTGGCGTTCGGCGAGTCTCCAAATTCAATGTCAATAACATTTAATGATAATATTATTGCTTGTCCTGTAATGGATTTGATTCTAATGGGTGTAACAGATTATCCTTCCCAGATCTTTCTAAATCCTTCATTTTTGTTTGTTTGGTTTTTTATATTTTGGGAGAGCCAGAAAGTTTCAGTGCAGTTGCTTTATTAGTCCTACCAAGATAAAGGAGTGGATTGGGTTTAATATTTGGAGTCAGTAAATATTCAGATCAGATCACCCTAGATCAAACCTCTTTACAACACCTGCAGTTCCTCTCACCTTCGTTTGCATCTGGTATTTTTCACAGCTGGAAACGACCTGCGTCTCAATCCACGAGAACCTGAAGGAGATCATCGACTACCAGACACACCACCGGTTACGAGAGTTCACCGGGAGGGTCCGAGCGGAGCACCTGAACCAACGGGTGCAGTGGTGGTCCGCAGGTGTATTTATTGTCATTCTCATTGTGGGCATCGGCCAAGTAATAGTCCTCAGAAGTTTCTTTACAGAAAGGAGGCCAACGACAGGAAAGATATGAAATAATTTTTTTTAAAACACGAGTGATGTTCATAAATACCTTGGATAGTCGGATGGCATTTCTGATTGGTCAAGAAGCTGGTCGTGTGACCAGGAAAGATGGTAAAAGGTTAGGGTTGCTTGAGCCTGTGGCAAGCTATGAAACATTCCAAGGGAGGCAAGGGACGGACAGTATGATCAATCACAGGGCAGAAATTATACAGAGCTTGGCAAGCGTGGTGTACTTGAAAGGCCATGGTACACTTCTGGTGAATTGTGATGAAAAGATTCAAGCTCTGCAGGAGTTCTTGCATCATAACCACATTTTGTGCATGTGAAGTTATTGAGCCATCAGTGAATATTCCGTATTTTCATTTTTCATTTATTGGACCCTACTAAGCAGAAGTATACTTGAAAGGTATTTGGATCTTTTTTGGGGGGGGGGTGTTTCTTGTAACTGTGAAAATGTTTTGGATGACTGCTGAAATGGTGGAATAATCAGAAGTGTACCATGGCAACGGAGTCAAATGATGGGGAAAAAATTCTATTGAAGACGTTTAATGTGAAAAAGTGTAATTGAGTTGGAAAGAAACTTCGAATAAGGTATTTATGAATTCAATTAAAAAAGTGCCAAGTCAGTATTAAATCATGACTTGAAGGCCAGCAAGACGGCGTTGCTGTATGAGAGTGTTCCAAGCCAAACACCATGTGGCACCGCCCTGTTGTTGGCCTCCATTCTTCTATTTAAGACAGACTTGTCGTCCATCAGTTGTTGAGGCTAGTTCTTTCCTGGCACTAATGGAAGCAGGAGCAAAAATACGAAGGGATCCTTTACACTTTGTCTCCTTTTTTGTAAGTTTCTTCACAAATCTCCAAAAAGTCCTCTTGTCATTTGGGTTAGGAAGGAACTAGGTTAAACCTCAAGTTTATTTGTGTATTTTTAAGTCACCTTCTTTCCTGTTTTATTTGTAGGAAAATGTATTTCCATTATGTACTAAAACAGTTTGGTTGCATGAGAGGGATTTCGTTGTCGTTCTTATACGTGCAATTTTGATCGCTCATTTTGCTCCTGTGTTTATGCTTTTTTCGTTGGCAGGAGAAATCGATTGATAACAATCTCTTTCATGTGTACAATAATTCATATCTGCTGTTTGTGGCTGTCTCCTCTTTGTAGGCCTTGGTGTGCTGGGAAGGACTACATTTGTATCAAATCTATTTTTAAGAATATTTGAACTCATTCATAAACATAAAATATGCAAGGTCAATCTTTAAAAATAATTGTACATGTGTGCTTAGGTAAACCTGCTAGCTATTGCTAAAAGACACGGCACGCTTTTTTTGGAAACGAGGAAATAGATTGTGTCCGATAATGATTTCACCTGGCGTAAGGACCAACTGGGGGGCACAGGCAGCATTGTGGAAATGCACATGATGTACATATTTTTTTAATAATACTTTTCCTGCAGGGATTCATTTTGCACAGTTGAGTAAAGATCAGCCACGATATGAGCCAATAATCTCTGAGTCAAGTAGATATAAAAAAAAATAATTCTTACCGGTAGGAGGGAAGCGGATCATTGCAGGGCAGAACATCTATGCAAAGATAATTGTGCATGACCAGTGAAGACCCTCAGCACTGCGCTACTTGATGGCAGTGCAGCCTTATCCTGAATTCCCCATCTCCAAGGTTGACAGATATGTACAGTCTTATCCATCACAACGAATGTGTGTATTTACATGGGCTCCTTTTGAAAATTGAGCCAACAGATCCTCCGACAGACACCCATAGCGTTAGAATAGTGTTGTATGTACATGTACGTGCATGTCAACAGCAGAGTGTCAGTGTGCTAATTTCAACCTAATGAGTAAGTCAGGGCTGATTGTCCCCAGTCGTCAGGGAGCTTCACGCGGCAAAATCATTATTCCGGCTGCTGTACAAAAATGACTGGTGCTTTGGGGCGGAGGTGGGGGCGGGGGTTAGGGTGGGGATGGTGGACTGGGGGAGGAGTTGATGAACAGGGACCGTGTTGGTGTACAGTAACCATGTTAGTACAGTGTATACCTGTAAACAGAATGCCAAGGAACCATTTGTTCCAGCCGTGGATTTTGCAAGATCTAGGTGGCTTGGCACTGATCTTGTTGGACTTTGTTGGATTCTGTTAGATTCTGTGGGGACCTGCTAGATGTTTGTTGGGTGTTCATAAAAATCCTGAAGGGTCAGGGGTAAAATTAACACCAAGGCCAACCCCAGGCCCATTTTGATAGAATTCATCCTCAATCCTTCAAAATCATCCCACAGTGCTTACAGGCTCCTTGTTCCTTGGAGGGCGGGCCACTACCTCAGTCCTTCAGAATCCAACAGCAATTTTTGTATTTTAAGGCAGTGCACATGATATACCAAAGCAGTGCAGATGATTTTGAGTGTAATCTAGACCGACATTTATGCATTGGCTGAGCATAAACACAAGGCCAGGCTCAAGTCCTTGACACAATGCATCCTTCAAAATGTGCTGTACATTATTGCTATACAACCTCAGTCCTCCAAAATCCTTAACTACTCGGAGGATTAAACGTGGTTAGGCCGTGAGAGTTAAAGATTGTTCATAAAATAGTTCCTTTATCACCTCTTTAACAGGATCAGTCATTATTTTACTCAGTAGTCTGAATGGTACTAAGAAAGTGATTAGTAGAATTGATGTAGCATATTTTCTCATAAAAGCAGATAAAAAGAAGGATTTTGCAGATTGTTCTTAAAACATGACATTTGTAACATACACCGGTGTTAAAGCTGATTTCGTGTTCATGTGCATTGTGTTACATTGGATCTCAATCTGGTGTCAGTGTTAAATAGGGATTGTGCTGGTGTTTAACTGTGACCCGTTGAATGTTAAATTCACAATATTTTGTAGCCTTGGAAATTTTGCCGTTGCTGTTAGTTATTGGGCACGGGTTGAGGGAGTGCTCGAATTCAGCCTTCAGTCTACATGTACTTTCTAAATGTGGATGTGTTGTGAAATTCAGTAGTTGCATTCATTTTCTGTATGAATGAAATAGTGTACTATGGATATTTTGGGGTAACAAATATGATTAGACCGTGCTTCTGTATCGACTTTTTGAAGTTGGTCATCATGCGGTTTTAGTTTACATGTAAATGTATTTTCATCTGCCGGGTCCCCTGAGACGTAGACTCAGACGCCCCAGCCTTGTGGATAGCGCCCTCTTGTGGATGTGGGAGTCCATCTATTATATATTAGCATTCTATATAACTTTGCGGGACACTCTTATTTCAACTGGTGATCAATAAGATAGAATGCCTACCCGCGCACTTTGGACTGAGGATGTAATATCAGTTATTTTAGGCAAAAACTAGACACCGTGCTATTGCCGTGCCGAACTTTAAAGAATTGAATTATTTGAGGCCTTAGATGTACTGTGTTAACTTGTCAGAGACGGGGTAAATTCTGTTTTTTGTGTATAGTTACTGGGTGTCTATGTACACATTTACATTAAAGGTTTACCATTATTTCAGTTGGTGATTCCTATTAAATGGGGCTTTGCTGCCATCCTTGGCCTGCTATGTTCATGTCTAATTCGTATACATCGTATCTTCGAGACAATTTGTGAAAACCTGTAGTGTCTATGCGCACATTTTTTATAAATCTGTTTGTTGCACGAGTTTCATATAGCTCAATAGAACCTGAAAGCTTACCCTTGATGGCGCGTATCCGGAACCCTTGGATATGTTAAAGAACGTGCAGAAATTTTAGAATTAGTAATGCTTTTTCGTTCAGTTACTTCTTAAAAACTCTACTCGTACAAAGGCCTTTTGTAAAATATTTGCTAGCATATCAATTTATGGAAATTAAAAAATTACCTGACCTAAAAGAGAAATATCCTAGATCCGGCCAAAAATTGACCCATCACTTCCGAAAATTTACGGAAGTGAAGAGTTACGTTATTATACCTGGTAGTATAGTCTTTCGGCAAAAGCAACAGACTAAAATATCTTAACGATTTTATAATTTATAACAAAATAAACTGAAGGCAATAACGTGTCTTAGCGAAATATCCTAATGTACATCTATTATCTAACCTTTTCTGACAAGAACTGCATCAGGTCAACTGGTCTGAATCTAGAGTCCATCGACTGCAGGTAGGTACCGTAAATCTTTGCAACGTTGTACATGTACAATCTCGTGTCCACGTGAGCGGGGGGGGGGAATATCGAATAGAAACAAACGTGTATGAACAAGGAGACCTAGGAACGATACTGCCGGGAGTGAAAGGTCATTAATAAAATTCGTTTTATTCACCCGTCTACAGGATTACTTTTCCTTAATATTGCTTGACGAGGACAAAGGGGAAATTCCGACATGAATGTTTCTTGAGGTGGTTTCAGTTCGGAATCATTCTTCCAAAAACTATCGAATGTGATAGGACGGCCCCATGTAAAATCCCCATAGGCGGACCGCGCGAGGGTTCCGGAAGCTCACTGAGTGACCTTTTACTGTCAGGCTCTCATTAGCAGGTCTGATGATTGATGAAATGTTAAAAGTTATTCTGTGAAATATTTCAATCCAAACTATTCTAGGTAGTATTTAAGACAGGTACATGAAACGGTCATGGCCTGCACGTGGGGTGTCATTGTCAGCAGAACCCTGAGACGGCTGTCTTCTGCGTCAGATTGTCTAGCCTTAGAATTGTATTAAGGGCCATGAGAGGTTTTTTATAGCTATTTGCTAATCGACAGAGTGTGATACTCAAAGCGTTCCAGAGTCGCCGTGCACAAAACCGGTACCGACTTCAAAAGAAAACTGACGCTCTAATAAGCGTCTGCCTTTGGAAATACGGTTTCATTCAAGCTGTTCCTGTATTGCTTCAGGACAAACCATATACATGTAACACCCCTGAAGTGGCACGTGTAGGGCTGAGTTTCTGCTAGGTACTTGGCAATTCAAGTAAAAAGAAGTTACGAGGGCAATGCGTTACGTTCATTTTGCTACTGGACTTGCCGTAAAGCCCTACTTTGTCAAACCATATCTGTTGGTTCTCCCCATTTCGTACAAGGGTAGAACAAATAATCGCTGTTCCTTATAAGATGATATTTTATATTAAAAAGGACTAATGTTATTATTCAGATAAAAGGCTGCACCATTTGATATTTGCATTAAAGGACAATAAAGGGTGTTGAAATCTAATGTGGTATTTTGTTGAATCATTTTTGGAGGACTCATGCTAAAATCTTGTAGATCATTTTGAGTAATAGGCATGGGTCAGGGTTAGAGAATGTTTGACAGAATCAGTTTTTCAGCTATAGCCACCTTAAAGAACCAGCTGATTTGAAGGAAAATTATTCTCGCTTCAAACCATTCGATTCGAGAGCCTCCGGGCTTATACTCGCCCGCCCTAACTCTGCTCGGAAAATGTCATACATAAGATTTGTGACTCGTGAAACTGAAGTTGGGTTGATCACGCATATATACGTGCAAATATTTAAGAAAAATGTACGGCCTTTACAGATTTCCTGTCAAAAATAAGACACCCGCTCAATAGCGGACCGACAGCGATTAAGTAGAGCACTGATGTTCCGCCACATTGCTTATGTGTTTTCAAGTGTCTTGTTGATGTCCTTACCCCGCTTGGTTTTTAGCTACTACATTTGAAGGTCCGTATAAAGTAAGAATAAGTCGTTTAAGCTGAAAAACCCTAAGTTGGAAATACCAGATCGAGCCATCTCCTCAGATAAGTTGATTGGTAGGCTGGATACACATTAGCTCATTGCTTATAGTGCAACGTACAATCAGAAACATCAAAAGTGGTTTATTCATTTAAAAGTCATGGAAATAAAACTTACTTTAAAGTTAATTCAGAACAGGACAATTATACATTGAACACTTTGAATCCTTTATTTAGCCTTGTACAAATTCACCATGTGATTTTTGCTAAGATATTTATATTTTTCTAGACACTGAGACTGATCTTCCTTCGAGGCCAAAACTGCAAACTCTTGCGGACGACAATTGTTTTTGCTAAAGCGCCCTCAGCGATCAAGCAACAAAAAAGCGTCTGGTACCCTTTCTATTCTATCGCTAAGATCGTTCTATTACTGTTGTAGTGTCCTGACGAAAAACCTCAAAACATGAAAACGCCGGTGATGAAGGACACGTGTACTTAACTAAGTGGTGAAACTACTTTTCCCTACTAATAACAACAGGTGTATATATTGTTTTATTCATTTGCCATTAATCAACACAGACAGACCGTTGGAGGTATTTGCTTTATCTTTTTTTATCGAGCTTTGGAATAACTCCTCCACGCTGGCAGTGGCAGGTCATCGATTTCGCTAGGCGCACCAAACATGCCAAATCCCGTACTGACTAAACAGCGTCACGGTGCATGCGTTAGCTTTAGTGTTAGTGTTTGCTCTGAAACTTTACTTCTCATTAAAAAAAAATCTGTAACGCCACGATTAGCCGTTTTGGTGGGGGAAAAAATTGTACAATTGAACTATAAGGACCGAGAATCAAACCTGTGATCCCAGTAGGCAGGTCAAGGCTTAGCCTTAGGACATACGTGACATATCTTGGGGCCCACTTAGGAACGTACATCATCAGGCTAGATGTTGATCACAGATAAAGTCTGTTTAAAAACTAAAGCATGCTAATATAGTAAACAGTTTAGGTGATGAGGAGTTTAGAGAAACAAGTGTCACGGTCATTGGTCCCGAGGTTACGCATTTTAACTAACATGACTTAAGGTCTAACTTGTAGAATTTTAAGTTCAGTGCACTGACAGTGGAAACAACAAGTAGTGTGATTTACATCAGTATTGTAGTCGAGTACTTTTTCCAAGTACCGAATGTGTAAATATGCAAAACAGTGCACATTTTCACGTGTGCCGTTGTGCGTTCCTGTTTCTGCGTACATTTCTAAAGATTCCAGAATGAGACAGTACAAAGCTTATCACCCAGTTAACAGTTTCTTCATCCAAATTATTTCGCCGATCTTATGCAGATGTAACGGTGTCCGAGTACACTGTTTACTGCCAAGAAGAATGGATCTCCAGGGTTTTACCATCAGTCTTCTCATCAGCTGTTTAATTGTACTCCAAGAAGTAGCAGCAAAGAGAGACCTTCATCTTTACTGTGGCGGTAAGTAAATGGCTTGGAGAAAACGGGAATAAATGTTGAAAACTATTTATGTCATATATGTATTTAAGACTGGTCCAACTGAGTGGATTGTAATAGACAACTTTTTAAAAATTGTAACAGTACTTACCAAAATTTATCCTTTCTAGGTTTTTTTGCAGGCTTACCTATGCATATGAAGCCAAACAAAATTAGTACCCTTCGTTTCCATTTCCACAGGCAAGACCATCTCACAACTAACAGTTTTTTTGTGAAGAGTAAAAAGGGGATACCCAAAGGCATCCTGCCCCAGTGTTAGGGTTGAATATGTATACTCAGCAGTGTATTCAGCTCATGAGTCTGGGGGTCAGGGGAGGTAGGGCACAATGGAATTGTTTTCCAAAAGCAATTGTCCGACTTTTTTTCATTCATGAAAGAATCATAACTCCCCTCCTTCTGCACTCAAAAACCAAAGGTGGTCGCCCCATTTCTAAAAAAAACTTTCTATCTCATAAAGAACCAAAATTGCCAACATGTCGGGGGGGGGGGAACTCTGTCCCCCACTGGCAGTGGAAGAGGGGGAGAAACAGGGGGCCGGTGGCCTCCAACTTTTTCAACCGCGGGACTTGGCCCCCTACTTTTGGCAGGTCCAATAATAGGGTGGGGCTCAATGGATCTTTGATGGTCTCACAACCGACCCCCAGCTTTGAAAATCGTTTCACCACTGCTGCCCCCAACCCTAGTGGATACGTTTTTGTGTACACCTTTTTACCTCCCGACCTCACCCAAGTTGGACATTGTACGCACTCTGTGATTAAACCTAATTCCAACTTGCACAGAATCATGCATTTGCTTGGAAGTGTCAGCAGAGTCTGAGCTTAATTTTTCCATCTTGGATTGTTATTTTTCCAGCATGCCGGGCTCTGGTCGATGAGATCCAGTATGCCATCAGCGAGGTAGACCCCCTTGAGACAATAGAAATGGGGTTCAGGATAGACCCCCAGGGGCGGCAGAAAGTCAAAAAGGTAGGCAAGGCAACTTTCTCGGGGGGGGGGAGTTGACCCCAAATACAAAATCTCTTAGATACGTGCACCAATTTTGACTGTATTTTGTTCTTCCTTTTGCTTTGCGTTTAAGAATGAACATTTTTTATCGACATTATATTTGTACGTAAATAACCCTCAAATTTTTGTTAGAAATCACTGGTTGAAGCTTTTGACAAAGTGTATGTGATATCTGTAGGTAGATGCGATGTAATTTTCATATGCTTGGGGGAGGGGGTGAATTTGGGTGAAAGGGACAGTCACGGTCAGTTTTGGTAAATCCTGTGTGCAGAGTAAAGTGACTAAATGAGTGCACATGATCTTGGTTCCTAATAGTTAGGAGATGCCGCCCATATACCAAACAAGCTGAAGCCATGGACTGGAGACCTGACCTTATTAATTACATGTGAGCATGAGGACAGTAAGACCGAAGACCCAACCTTGCTAATCATGTATGATTGTGAAGACAGCAAGATTGAAGACCAGACTTCACAAATCAGTTGTGAGTATGAGGACAGGCAAGACTGGAGACCTGACCTCAGTGCTCACATGTGACCCACATGTGATTATTGACGTCAGGACTCCGGTCTTATTGTCTTCATACTCACATGATGCATGAGGACAGTAAGTCTGGAGACCTGAACTTACTACATGTAATCACTTATGAGTGTGAGGACAGGCAAGACTAGAGACCTGAACTCACTAATCATACAATACATACATGAATGTGAGGACGGCAAGACTTGAACTGTGATTCAGTATTTAGAAGATCTTGAGAAAAAAAGGAAGATAGTGGAACGATCTTTCTTGACAGTTCTTGTTCCCCCCTCCAGATTCCGTATGCAGGCTCGGAGGTGCATCTAATGGAGTTGCTGGATGACGTCTGCAGCAAGATGAGGGACTATGCTGAGAGCAAAGACCCAGAGACCAACGTCAAGAAGTACGTGCGCTTCAACGCCAGGAAAGAAGGGGATCCTGTAGAATTGAAGAACGTCTCCATCAACCAAGACATCAGCAAGTCATTAGAAGTAGCTGTGAGTTGTCCTTACTTTTGAAGTCGGTTGCCTTTTTACAATTTATGCACTCCCTCTTCTGCCCCCAAATGCAAATGAGAAGGAAATTTTTGAATGATACAGAAGTTACCTCAGTTGTTATAAATTTGAATTTGAGATTTTATGATTTACATTTGAGTTATGAACGAGCTTGATAAAATGCTTTTCTTTTCAACCACTTGCTGCCGGGTGCTTTTAAAAATGCACTGCACACATACGGGCCATTTTCAAGATTTTCAGTTTTCAAAATTCTTCAAAAATTCAACATTTCATGTAGTAAATGTTTACACCCACACGTTTGGTGGCTACTCTAAGCTGACAGGCAACCTCCATTGACTCCTGAGTATTCCAGCCCGGCCTGCTGCCCTGTAAAGAGAGCCCAGAATTATGAGGTGTTGCGTAATTTCCTTTGTCCCTGGTGAATGCGAGTGGCGTCTTTTCAAACGCGGCTGGATTAGCATGCAGCAGTGCTGTGTCGCTCATCAATGGGGCCCTGGAGCACTTTTGTCCGCAGTGCTAATCCACCGGTGCGCTACGCCCAAAGCAGTGGTACACTGTTTAAAAATAGTGACGGATTACCTTCGAAAAAATGCAAGCCGAGAAATGATGGCAATTCCCAGCAGCACGTCTTTTGTTCCGAGTACGGTCTTGTGTTACATGGAACAGCTCTTTTGTCCGATTTCGGGCAGCCCGGCTCTGCGTACAAACCCATGGTACTCGAAACGGGGCTCCCCAGCAGCAAGTGGTTAACGTTTGATTGAAAATATGAAAGGATTGCCGTGGTTAATGAACTGTATGCTATGTATGTCACGCACTGAAATGTGTATATGTGATTTGCCAGAATGTCTCAATGACAGCTCTGCCTCAAATCAGTTCACTGAGATTCAGTCACACACTCAAAGAATGTGGAACCCTTGAGACTTTTGAGGACAAATCCAGCAAGCAGTTACCGAAAGGATGCCACACTAGTGTGCAGGCTGTACATTTTGGTCTGTGCCCCTTTCATCCAGTAGACCAATCCAGTAACAAGTATGAAAACCCATTGCTGTGGTGGTGGGACCATGGTGCCACACGTGCCTTACATTCAAATTTGAAACTTTGAATTCCTCTTTGACCAAGAGAGTTTTGGCAGCATGCCACAGTGCAGGTATGGTTACATGAAGTTGCTGGACATTCCACAGAATTTGCCCCCTGTTCAGAGTGTAGTCCAAGTTTTCTTTTTCCGTTTATTTTGCCACAGTGCCGTAACATAGTGGAGGAATATGAGGAAGAAATCGTTCGAGCCTTTACAGCCAAAGAACCTAATACAAAGACACGAATATGCAATGAGATTGCAGGTAAGTGGGAATTTTGCATCGCTCAAAACAAATTACCCTCCTGAATCGACCCCACACTTGAAATCACAACCAGAAAAGCCTAAGAACATCCGGAACCATGGGATTTTTGTCACGTCACATTGCAAGAATTTCCTCTTTTTCTTCGGCAGAGGTTTGCTCAGGACCAGCAGAAGACAATCTGACAGTCACATCTGAGAAGACAGAGCTTTGATGATGACCAACAGCACCTCACATCTTATCCAGTATGATCTATTTATCAAAGTACTTTATGCTTAAATGTTTAACAGATTGTCACCATTATCATGAAGGGATGGGTACGTCGAATTTGAGAAAACAGGTGTCCAAGATAATCACAAGAGTAGTTTCTCCGATTTTGAAGCTGTAAAAACTTTTACAACTTTATGCAGTAAGGAAATCTTCACACAGGTTTTTGAAAGGTTAACTTTTATGTGAACCTAGCATCTAGAACGAACACAATGGTTAATGAGTCGATATTAGTAAAGATGCCTGTCCCTTCGTAAAAATAAAAATGACCCTTCATGAAAATAAAAATTCACCTTTTCTGCATTTACCCCCCCCTCTGTTAAATGTGTTCTTCCATAGGGAAAGGGCACTCAAGTTAAAGCGTACGCTGTTGAGAATGTAACAAAGACGCCCATTCCTTCGTGAAAACAAAAATCACAGTTGACCTACTTCTATGCTCTTCCGTGCAGTGCAGTTAGTCCGTGCGTTCAAGGGCCAGGCATGTGTGCATCTCAACTTGAAATGCAAAATGCATTTATCAAGATGCCTGCTCCTGGCATCGTTAATGTCATTTTGAAGTTAAGGACGTTTTGCTTACAGAAGCATGTCAAGATGGTCCATTAGGACATTTCAAAGCAAACAGTGAAAAAAAATTGAAATTGAAAAAAATTGTCATTTTTTGTACGCATATCCTTTGTGAAATTTAGATGGAGGAAGTTGTGGATCTGATTTTCAAACTCAAATCAAATTGTGTTACCAAGTGCAAGATAAAAAGCAAAGGATTTGCTGAGGAGAAGCAGAATATCACTTAAAAAGTAGTGTTAACATGTATTTCTATTGACTAGTACTATGCTAAATATCGCTTACCACATAAAACTTGTTGAGCCTTGTTTTCTGCTTAGCATGTTTCTGTGAAACTTGAGTCACGATTTACAGATTCCTCAGCATATAACTCTCTCCTTGCACGGTTTTGGGTCACACTTGCATCTCATTTTACATCTTTGGTCTCATACACCGTTTTCCTTTCATTTTTACATTTTGTACAAAGGTGTGTTGTCAAACATGTGGACTGGCATAATTCGGTCGCTAGTACACATCGATGACCAGAAGAGGGTCCTACTTGGGACCCCTTCTGGCTACTCATAGTTCCTCGGGGCACAGGCGTGCACTAGTGACCTCAATGCCAGTCCATATGTGTATAATATGTCCTGTTTGGAGCAGGATTTTTTTTTACCTATCTGATGTTTGATGAATAAGTTTAAACTTCAAAGATCCGCATCCTACAAAAGGTGAATTGATTAAAACATTTGAGATGTTTTATTTATATAAGGTCGAGTAAATATCATCTTCCTTCAAAAAGTGTCTTTTGGAAGGTATGAGTTGAAACATCGGAAGCCTTGTATAGCTGTTTCCAAGGCGCAAAGTTTGGTTATATTGTTTTCATTCAAGTGAGTGATTTTTGTCGAGTATATTTACAGCCCATGCTTACACTCAAACGTGTTAGTGATCTGAACGGAAGGGTAGAGAAAGTTTGAGAAAAAAATGACGTATTTGCCCTTTGGATAAATTGTTCAAGGACTGATGATTTTGTTGACCAAAATAATTGTGTTGCGAATGCATTCAGTTTGGAAAGATCGTGTAAAAAATTGTGTAAAACTCAAATGTTAAAGATCCATTCAGTTTCCATCCAAATAAATTTAGATTGTCAAGCTGTCTGTGTTGATCCATTATTAACTCTGTCCAGCATTTTTATGGGCTTGTGTACTCATCTTTTAGAAATTGTGTCAAAAGAGGGCGCTGGTCAAAGCGGCAAATAATTCCGTGATGGACTGATCGCAGGCACTGAAACGGACAAAGGCTGCGTTTGAATCACTTGGCTGCAGCTTGAAACTATGACTCGAGGGGAATCGGCCACAGTCAATCTCATAGACGCGTGTGTTATTTCTAGCCGCAGCCAAATTATTCGGACTCTGCCTGAGCTCATGTCCGAATTGGTATGGCTGAAATTGCTACGTCATAGACTCCTTTCCCTAGACATGTATGATAATTCAGACCGCAGCCGCTTGATCGCACACGGCTCGTGCGTGCTGCAAAGAGATCCGTTGCCCAACCTGCGCCGACGCTCCAGTTTACTGAGTCGAAAGTAGATTGAATATCAAGAGACGGAACCTGTCCTCATTTTGCGATCGTGATTGGTATTGAATTGTAACAAATACCCGTAGACCGGAGAGCGGTAATTAACAAATACACCCGTTCGCTCCAAAGGGGGTTTGGTCTTCATTGAACTCCCCTTTCTCTAACACATGCGGACCCGCCTCCTGAGTCCTGCGGGAAAATTCAGACAACCGACCGCGGGCTTTTTGTGTAATTTCACCAGGATCCAGTTCCATCTTCTTGTCTCAATCGTGGAGGCAGGAAGAAAACTTGGGCCACGGATACGGGCAAGTCGACCCAGAGACCAATTTGTTGTGGTCTTTTTTTTGGGGGGGGGGTGTTCTATCCGTGCATAATGCTTTAGGTTTCCGGATCTAAACCAAGCTGATTGAGCGTAGTTTCAGCGAGCCGGTCGGTACCTGGAGGAAATGGCTTTTGACGCGCTGTCGGCGAAGTTGCGGGGCAGTATCGGGTGTGCATCCAGTGAGTAAGAGGGATCTCTCGTTACGCATTTTATCCCCTTGTCCCCTGCGGAGTGACCCTAATAAGCGGTCAGTCTATTACCATACTCAATCTTGACCATACCAGTGCCCGGTCTCGTACCCTCGTGCATTGGTCCTATACTTAAGAGCTTTTTGCTGGCCCCAGATTTCAGTGCGTATTAGGGGCGGATCTTGCCTTCAAGGAAAGGGGATATACAATGAAAGTATTCCCCTGCCACAGTGCTCCTGGGGCATGCCCGGGAAAGTTTCTTTAATTTGTGATGCTCTCTCACATTCTGAAGCAATTTCGGGAATTTGAGTCACGTTTTTCCACATTTATTATTTTTGCCTCATTACTCGTGTATGACATTATGACATTTATCAAGGACGGGTCCTGAACATAATTTTCGGGGTTGAGGCTACATTTGGAGGATTTTTACACGCTTTTTGCAGGAAGGGAAATAAATAGACTTTTCCTCCCCGGAAAAGAATTGGCTCCAGTTGCCCCGCCCTCATCCGGCCTTGAAATTTATCAGCGACCGAAGGGGAGGGAGTGTTTCAACCCCCTCCCCCAAAGATCTTTTACTGACGTGATCTTTCTGCTGTACTAGCAGTATTGACTCGGAGTCAGGGCCCAGTGTCGTAGAGCTGCAAAGCACATCGTACCAAGGTAAAAATGAAATATTTGCTCAGCAAAAACACATAACCACTGATTTGGCCTTGGCATATTAATTGGCTCAGTTAACCAAATTTCCCACATAATATAGCTCGATGAAATTCGGCCGATTACAACATTTGTATGCTAAATGTACGGTACAAACTCTTTAGTTATGAGTTGTAAGCCAAGACGCTTTGCTAACCTATAAAATAAGATTACCATTTAGGGAGGTTCTTCGCTTACGGCGAGCTGAACTGTAAAATGTTGACCAGGTATTAGCAGTCGTCCTTAAAACTCATTTAGCCACTACGGCTATTTTCTCTGTTACCATCTTGCGATATGTTCCATCCCCATCATTTTCGTCCACCAGGTCTGATTTTTGTTATAGTCATTGACAACTGGTCACCAAGAATCTAAAAAAAATTAAACAACGATGTCGTTGGCATTGTCAATAGTATTCACAACTATTACACGGACAAGGAGGGTTCTTCGTCAGACACTAAATATTCCTCAGTACTAATTCTGGCAATCTTTCCCAGTTGAACGCAATATCCCGTGGTATCTGTTGCCCATTCCTCTGCTCCTTTCTCGTCTTTAAAAGAACCAAAGAACCAAATCCGAAAACTCGCCAGGTACCAGATACCATCCATAAATATGGCTTTTAATCGGATTTCTATTTACAAACAATTATTTACACGTTGATGAACGCCTTTTTTTTCTAAACATAAATGACAAGAAATACTTTAAAGCTTTAAAATGAATAGGCTGCGTAGTTTGTATAAAGTGCGTTTCTTCATAAATTGAGTTTACTAGGCTCACCATGAACTTGTTTAGGAGATAGCGTAAGTGATATTAATGAGATTTGATCCAATCATGAACGTGTGTTACAAAGAACATTTTTAATAGCGGGCCCCACCCCGCCCATAGCTTGTATTTTCTTTCTCCCATCTCCGAACTGGTTATTCAGTGATTTTAAGGACAGACATTTTCTCTTAAAATATACCTCGCTCGTGTTCACCTTCATTAATTGTGGTCCACCCTCGATATCCTTTCTAAATGCTGGATCCCCTTTTTGTTGTAAATACTACATCCGCCACTGATTTTGTACGAAATGCCTCTTGGCCAATTTGTCGTAGTGGTTATCGAAGAAGTCCAAGGTTCGAAGCAAATTACACCTTGCATATTTTACTCTTATTTCCAGTCCCTTTTCTCCATAGGCCTATATCATTCTCATCAATGTATCTTCAGAGTCTGCAATTTTTTCCTGTCATCTCCAGATCTAGAACAAGGTGATGCCATACAGAATCTGACAGAATCGAGACGATTTGGTAAACCACAACTTCGATTTCTACCATCGAATTAGTGGCTACATCACATGGGACGAGTTGTAGTGTGGAGTTGGGGATGGATCCGCAAAACAACTTGTTTTTAATGGTCATCCCTTTTCTTGTCGTCGCTGATTTTTTTATATCGGAGAGACGAAAATCGGTGTTTTCCTTTAAGTTCCGTTACTGAAGTATCTCTCGGCCTTGGCCGTACGTTACCGTCGTTGCTACCGCAACACACGCCCATTCTATGAGTGAGATAAAATTTATGCTTTTAATGCCAAGCCCAGTGGCGAATCAAGCGGGGGGGGGGTTCTCCCGGAGACATTTGCCATTGGACTTTTTATGAATTGAAAGTAGCAAAACATTAAGAATGGCATGACCGTCTGGTTGAAGATTCTTTCAACAGGAAAAACAAATTGGACGGTCGTTTTCAGGAAAAAACTACAATTTGTATCCCCCCGGGCCTCTGACCTAAAACCTGGTACGCCACTGAGCAAGCGTTACACACGAGCGTAATACATCTCATTTCACCGAATTACATCTCATTTGGGTGAATTTGCTTGTAACATTTGAATAAAATCTGGTACACTGAGTTATTTAAATTCACGTGAACATAACAATTTGAATTCTCCATACAAAAGATATATATTACTAGGCCTATACCTCGTGTTTCGGGTCAAACTGTAACTTATTTTACATGAGAGACGCCTTGCACCTATACACTGTTTTCAATGGATAAGAAAGGCACAAAGGAACCAGTCCATTCCAGAGATGGTGGTCGCTGCTCAACAGCTTGCCCCGAATCACGAGTTATAGCAATAGTGTCTTTAGTCTGGGGAGTTTAAATTTTTATGTTTATGTGCAATAAGATACCATAGCGTACCAGATTTTATTCAAATTTAACTGGCAACCGGTCATCCTCTTTTCCCTATACATGTACATCCGTCACCCCGTTCCTTATCGCACTTTTCAGCTTCAGTGAGTTTGACTCATCGCACCGCGGTGAAAGCCAGCGGTCCCGCCTGCCAAGGAGGACTGCCGCTGCGACGCTGCGGCCGCGGCCGCCGCTGCCGACGCGTCTTTGCCGAAGCTCGGCGGGGCAGTCCGCCCGCCAGCCCCGGCGGTGGGTAAGGTGCGTAGGCCGCTGCTGTCGCCGCGGAGTAGGGTCCGAGTGGGCTGTACCAGGGTGTCAAGAAGGGGGCTGTCCACAGACCCTGCCGCTGGGCTATCTTCAAGCGGGCCATCATCTGTTTCTTCCATTTCGTTCTGTATAAAATTCAAGAGGACAAAACGTCAAACATAATACCGGTACAACGCAATGTAAACAATTTCTAAACTGCAATGTTATAATAATTCCACTTTCCGCTCCTTAAATACTCCACGAAGCCTCCACAACTTCACTGTATTCTCATCTTTGAACTTGGGAGGACCAATTGCTTTTACACGGCTTTTGCTGAGAGTTCCTGAATATAGTAACAACTTTTTCAATGAAAGCCAGTTCGGTTTGAAACCTTACAATCCCTACTGCTATCATTTTCATTCATCGTGTCCGGCTTTCACCTTATCGGTCAACCAACTGTCATATTACAACCTAATCACCGCATCCCGTGCCAAATTAGTGGTACTAAAATCTTCGTATATCTCCAAACACCAAAAATCAATTCGAATAACGATATTCGCTTGCAGAAAAAAAACGGCATCTCGCCAACAAACTAAAGCAAGAAACAAGTAGAAAATGGCGGGTGCTGAATTTCGTAGCCATGGCAGCCGTCCATCACGGCAATCCGTTATGGATTTGTTCAATCAACCGTAATTAACCCCAATGGCAAGCTACTTAAAAGCCGATATTGTTACCGGTAATAACGATGATTCCCCCCCGCTGGCCTATCAGCCAAGAATCGATATTTCATCCCGGTCCACGACGCCGGTAATTACCCTGGCGCAGTGTACGTCACTGCGTTTGACTGCACCGGGACAAACTTAGTGTTCTTACCAGGTCTGTATGAAACTGCACCGCACCCTATGGCTTTCTCTCATCTTAGACACGCCCACTATACTAATTATTCACATTCTGTTTTATAGCAATCCTCTCAATCGGATATTTTAAAACGTAGCAGAACTTTAAATGAAATGATTTTACCTTCAAAACATACAAAGGAAAAGCTTGAGGTCACTTTACGCTCATGAGAAGGCAAAACAGGTTAGCGGAATTACATGTATTTTTTAATGAAACAACTGTATAGCTAAAAAAAAAAGGAACCAAAACCAAGAAACATTTGTTGTTCTTTCGAGAACGTTCGTTAGTTGAAGCGTATTCAAATTGAAATTGCCTCAGTACACTTTAAATATAATTGAATTTATTTTGAGCTGAGAAATTGGATTGCGTAGCTCTTGAGCAAAGAGATATAGAATTCATTTTCCTCTCAGCACGGTTCTATATGAACAAGTTACCCGATACCTCCTGTCCAGGAATGGTGGTTGTCGGTAACTGTCACAACACGGTGTCTTTTACACCGCGAATCAAGACAGCACCCGTGTATCGTCTGATCTCATCAAATGGTGTCGAGTTTTCTTCCCTCGGTTACCGTATCTCCATTTTGAGCCTGGACTATTAATGGGAAACATATAGCTGTTGCCTCTACATCAGAGGAGGAAAGGCCGAGAGAGACGGGGGGGGGATACGTCATTCGACCAAGATTTGCCGAAGAAGAGGACTCTACACGGCCAAGAAAATCATTTCGCCGCAGTGATCGAATCTGGTACCCGGGGCAAGTCAAGAGCGGTGTATAAATAACGCTTATCCACCTTTAGATGGCTCTTGAGGACTGACTGAGCCCCGTAAACATGGCATCTTAACCAAGCCCCTTGAGCTACACTGAAAGCCGATACCTTCGTGCAACGACCCGGCTCAGGTCGACGCAGACTTACTGGCTCCAAGGACACCGGAGAATCGGAACCCCCAGTTAACCAATTTTTGTCTTAACCCCCCCCCCCCTTCTGCTAACGAAGCGCCCACACGCTCTCCCCGTGCAATAAAGAAAACAACCTCTGCGGAGGTTTTTTGTTTCATCTCCCCGCATAATGGGAAGGAAAAAAGACAGAAACTTTTACCAGTGATGAAAGCAAGCAAGTTAGCGCAAGGGGGTGGGAGGAGGCATACAAGCGTGCGCGGAGCAAGACCGCCAGGGGCGTCGTGTTGGCTTGCAGCCCGCCGGGGCCGCGCCGGGCCCCCGATCCGCACGGCCGGTGTTTTCTTTAATTGCTCCGAATTCTAATTACGGCAGAATAAAAGAGCTGGCCATGGCTGTTTCAGCGAGCACGCGTGGCTCACTGAAAAGGACAGGGATGTAATGGCTCACCTGCCGGTACCAAGACTGGTGAAATGGAGACGAAGTGGAGAAATCGGAACAAAAATTAGATCAGTTTCGCAAGTTTCACACCACGGCACGTGGCGACAATATACAAACGTCTTCGTCGGCAGGGTGGCTAAGTGCAGGACTGTCGAGTTAATTTTTAAAATTTAAAGTGTCCGGCGTTTTATCCTAGCAGAACCTTTCCGTAATCACGGGTCCTCTAAATTTGAAGACGTGTACAGTGCAGGTCAACCCAGTCAGTAACCATTTTCAAATAGTGTTGTGTTTATATTTCTTAATTAATTTTTAGAAGTGGGTCGGAGACGCCCCTCACCAGATAGGAATGACGGGTTAAATATACAAAGCTTTTCTCTCGTGAAAAAGTGAAAAAAATCCTTCACGATTTCTTAGATTTTGAAAAAAAATACCGCATGGTGCAGGATATCCACACGCGTATCCCTCCAGTCCGTCTAAACGTGCCTGTAATTCTTAACCTGGGCAAGTTTTTACCACTGTATTAGTTCCCGACTATTGGTACTTTCAGTTCTCATTGTAGATACAAATGTAGACAGATGATAAGAAAACTGGAATGAAAGTGTTGTAATCTATGCACTGCGCCGTTTGTCACTGGTCGTGCATGTACTTTGTTGCATGCTTGTACAAATCGTAGGAAAACAAACCACACTCGAAAAGTCACTTTATTCCATCAAAAGTTCAGAGGATTAACTTTGAATTGATTACGTACTGATTTGATGTCGAGTGTGTGCACAAGTATGAGCAACAGCTTGTATCTTTCCCCACGGGTGGTCTTTGCACCAGTCTTTACACTTCGTCGTCAGTGGACTCTTTTCAAGAAGACTTAACACACACCAGCAAACCGCCTGTAATTCACACAGATCGCCTGGGCTGCCACCGACAGCGGCGCTAATTAGGGACAAGCTGGCCAGCCGACAACGCCGGATCTCCCTGCAGCCGATTTCTGGCCGTGCGAGGTATCGCTCGCGGCGGGACCTACCCGCGCTCCGGCCCCTTGCACGATTGCCCGGCCATTGATTGTCGTCTCCGGCGGGTTAAACGCTCAATTGACAATCCGCCGCGTGCAAGGCTTCGTGTAACACGTGCGCCAACCCCAAAAAACACGGCACAATTCCTCGGCTGTGGAGAAACATTAACACCAACAGGCCTCGATGTTTTCAATTTGGAACGGTGCGGCTCGATCCAGATCTCTCGCAGCGGCGAGCTGAGAGATTTTTCTCCCCCTTGAGGAAATCAATACTCCCCTCACCATGTTCCGTGTAATAGTCCCTCGCGCCGTTTCCATTAAAGATTATCGTTCGGCTGATGGAATTTGTTTTAGTGTAAACGACATAATTAATAAGCCATTTCCTGATATCATTGGGCCATTGATTTGAGGGGACGGGGGAAGAGTTCTGGTGGAGGCGAGTGGCGCGCTTTTATACTCCCCCTTATCCCAAATAGCTGCGAGTGGTGTTCACTCATTAGTCGGCCGGGGTAGTTTAGGAAGGCTTGATGATTTGCGTACGCAATCGATTTAACAGTTTGGCCACGAGAGTCAATACGATCCCCGCTGAAACCGGGCAGCGTGCGGTGCGTGCCGAGATTGGGAGAGATTTTTAATGGAACACGCAGCTATTTCAGCTGACGGGGGACCGTGTCGCCGCACCATCGATCGCCTAAGCTCAGCGAGCCGCAGACTCGGCGAGCTGAAGAGACTCTCGACAAAATATCAGGACAGGATACAAAAGCGAAGTGTCACACCCGCAGTGTCTACAAAACACGATATTTTTACCGCTCAAAAGAAAATTTGATTTATGGTAAACATTTGATAATAGTAATTAAAGTTGAAGATGTGAACCTAAAAAACTCGTAACCCCTTCCTAAATGGTGTCTATGTGGCAGTCTGATCAAGAGACTAATGTTCTCTACGTAGTCCATGCCCATTAGTAAGCTTGACGTAAACGCATTAATGCACACAGGTCTCCAAACTTTTAAAGTCAGCGTCCTTAACAAACAGCTATAGACATTCCGTGTCCATATCAATGTACTGGCTACGGCCAGGAGCGGCACACACCCCAATGGGAAGTGGCTGCAGCCATAGGCGTATCTGTTTCCAACCTCAGTCATAACATTCGGACACGACTCAAGCCCACAAAAGCTGCCTTTATATTCAGTGCAGCGGTGCGCATGAACACTTATCGAAAATGTTATTTAATACCATCCCTTTGTAATATTTCTGTACCCGTCCATCAAACTGTCACATGACCAAAAGTCAATAGGTCATGTGATAGCCAGCCAACATCAGTAACGTCATCAGTCTGACAAAGACTCAGAGTTTGTCGTGTCAAAAGCTCTCGTAAATAAACCTTGTCTATAGTTGTGAAAACTGGTTCTAATCTTATTCTGGCATGTTGTGAACTGTAATGAGCAAACAGGTAGCATCCAGGTATATTCTCGCAGAAATCTCCCCTTCAGGTCAAAATTGCACACTATTGTCTGACGACGAGAATGTACACCCATTGAAATCCTTTTCATTTAATATCACATTGTTATTGAGCCTGTTATCTAACAAATTTACCCAAATAATACCAATGCATTAAGAGTTTTGATTTCGCTAGATTAAAAGTGGAATTGCCGCCTTCCAACTTCTATCACGAATTTTAAAAACGTCCTGTAGTGTATGGGTTTTGCGTGATCTTCACTTTGACTGTTGCTTTTCTCAATTGTTCTCAAAGTAGTTAACTCAACACATGAAACAAATCAGTGGAATGAAAGCTGCAGTAAATTTTATATCCCTAAACCACCCAATAAACCTAAAGTAAAAAAAAATGCAACCTACTTTTAACTCAACTACCTTGCCAGGAAGTTTTGTTATGCACGGAGGGGTTAAACGAAATCGCCATTCTTACGTCAAGAAATGGAATTCCCTTTGTGTGAAATTTGCCCACTCTTCGAGCCGTTCATAATACATGTACATGATTGCAAGCAAATCACAAACTGCCTGGATTCATTTCATCAAGGGCAGGCAATTTAATACAGTCTTG